CTAGCTATATTCCTGCCATTAATGGGCCAATAAATTTGTCTAATAGAATTTAATAGTGATTGTGGACCATTATGAAAATCCTTTTCATGAAAATAAATAAATATAAGTTCAGTTAACTTATTCTTGGCAGGCAAAATAATGGGATGTCTTTGACTATAACTTAAATTAGAATTCTTTATCCTACCACCTACCCTTAACAGACCTTTTTCATCTAAGAAGGGATCAAAATATTTTAACTTACTCCTTGATGTTATCTGTAGACCTTTCTGCAACAAAGAAATTTCTTCTGCAAAATACCTACCTTGGATATATTTAAGGAGTGTATTCCTTGACAGCTCCATTTCATCTATACTAATACTACCTGTTCGTTTTCTCACTTGTGTTCCTACAGTTGTAGATAAATCTGAAAAGTAAACTAAGAATTCGTATTAGTTTCAAAGAAATCATTAGTTATTTTTAGGAAGTCAAATCAAAGAATGAATCAGTTTTTAAAGTCAACAAGGAAGTCGTAACTGGTTTCAGTTCTGAAGAATAAAGCTCATCACTAAGTCCATTTTTATCTTGAAAATTTGTCCTTGTTTAAAAAATCAGGACCTTTCCACCAACAGCTTGTTAGATCCAAGAGTTTGTAGCATCTGATCCTCTGGAAATGATGTTGGCTGGGTTCATTTCTGATGAAACTCTTCCCATCTGTATCATGATGGAAAAAAGTTCCTCTTGAATCATTCCACCTTTACATAATATGTCGTTCAATGAACAACCGTTAGTAGTTTTGGCACTCGCGTCGAACACAACGCGTAACTTTGTTGTTTTACTATCAGGTTTCAGCACGCCATGATGAGGAAGAAAATATCCTCCTTCAGTTTCAGAATAGTCTTCCATCCTCTCCATATGATTTAATGATTCATATTCCCTTAAAAATGAAACATAAAGTTCTTTCATTACAGAATCACTCGACAAACGTTTCCACAATTGATTCAGTCTTTTTTCAGCGATTTCCTTTGAATCCCCTAATTGTATGTTTTCACCAATATCTGGCTTGAACGGCATTTTAACCACATATCTTCCATCCGCATGCCGGTAAAATGAGTTTTTCAAAAAGTTCGTTGCAATAATTTAATTCAGAATTAACTGTAGATTTAGTTTCATTTACTTCTTCAACTTCCCAGAATGACTTTACTAAGTTATTTAACGAATTAATCTCTGTTGACAAAAAACAATAATTTAAGTCATAATTTTTTACATTTGGAATTCTAATGCTTCCAGAAACTAAAAAGCCGAAGCAGCTGTTTTGAAGAAGTAACTCATTATCTTCTAAACGTATTTTATCTGTTTTTAAAAATTCAAAAAATAATTCCGCACCTAATAATAAATCTACCTTTTTTGCCTTGAAAAATTCATCATCAGCTAACTTTATTCCTTTCGGAATATTTAATTTCGAAATATCAATAGATTTCGATGGTGTCATGTCAGTTATTTTGGGAACAACTAATAACTCTATTTCCCATTCATTTTCCTTTTCTAAGTTCGATAAACGCGTCTTTATTTGCGATTTAACATTCAAAGTAGTGTTGCCTATTCCACTAACTGGAATAAATGCTCGTTCTTTTTTTATTCCTAATGAGTTCATAACACCTACAGTACAAAAATTAGAAGTCGAAGCTGAATCAAGCACGGCTCTAAAAGGAATTCGTTCATCGTAAACATCGCGAAGATAAACAATCGCTGTATTTATTAACACAAATTTAGATTTATTTGCAGCTGCCATCAAAGTTGTGTGGGGGGGAGAGGGGCAGTCCTCTTTCCCATTCACTGACGAAAGGTTCAAGGTCAATTCATTTTCTTTCGATGATTCATTTTTGTTTTTCGTCAATTTTATGTAACAGCGAATGATGTGTGTCTTTCTTACAGACATAACAGCTAAATTTAGCCTTACACTGCGATAATACGTGTGATGGAGAAAGGCATTTAATGCATAATTTATATTCTTTAACAAAATCATACCGCTCAGAAACAGAAATACTCTTAAATTTCGAACAATGATAAATTGGGTGTGGTTCTTTACACATAATACACTTTCGAAAAGGGTTTGTTTTAGTTACCAAGGATTTTGAATTTCTAGAGCGACTTAATTGATTTGATACTTTAGTAGCATAGCTCTGCTTAGGAAAACTAACTTTGTTTATTTCTTCAAGAATGCGAATTCTTTCTTCGAGAAATTCTAAAAATTCATCAAGTTTGGGAATTTCATTTGATTTTACGTTTAGTTCAAATGCTTTTCTAGATTCTCTATCTAATTTTTATGCAATAAAATATTTAATATCAAAACATCAGATAAATTATTTCTTCTCAAATTCTAATACACTTAAAGATCTCAAACATCTTTTAACATTATCTACCAGTGATCTCAACTGAGAAGGTGAGTCATTTATTTTTTCAAATTTCAACAAATTATTGATAAAGGCATCAACTACTGCTCTTTTGTTTTCATATCTGCTTTCAAGTGCAGAAAATAGCGACTCAAATGTATCCTGACATGATTCTAACATTTTTGCTTCACCTTTAAGTGATGCTTTTCAAATAAAACAGTTTCTCAGTATCATTTAAATTAAATTATTATTATTACCAATCATAGACATAAATTGCACACTTTAAAATTTTTAAAATCTTCATATTTACCATAAAATTGAGGAAGAGGTAAATCAGGCAGTTTAAAATTTGATTTAGAAACAGTTTTGGTTTCAAATTTATCTTTATTATTTGTTTCACAATTAGAAAGAAAAATTCTAAATCTTACTTCGAACTCTTCGATGCTTTCTTCCAATTCTTGTGTAATGCTTAGATTATCCTTCAAGTCAATTTCCTCTGGCAAATTGGTGTATTCCACTATGAGTTGTTTTTAACCCGAGATTTTAATTCCAACAAAGAATCCAATTTAGTCTTCATAATAACATCATGGTTGAGTTTATTCTCCTCCATTTTATACTCATCAAGGAATTTTATCAAAGCTCCGAGTTTCGTTTTCACTACGCCGCGTTGGCGATTCAATGAAACAATATTAGTAGCCATTTTCTTCTCCGGCTAACGTGAGACCAAACTAAACTGTTCTTGCCGAAGATAGCTCGAACTTATTTAATGATACTTAACTTCAGTAAGTGGACTGTAATATTAACAATAACAATTTTATTTTAACAAAAACAACATTATTGAATACTAGCACACGCATGTGCTTATAGTTACCTATGTAACTTAGCTAAAGAGCGAGCAACCATATGCTCTTACATCAAGTCAGAAATCATTCATACTAATAAAGCAAAAACCAAATAACTTTAGGGTTACACTAAAGCCAAACTCTGCTTGGCGTGAAACAATGCTGCCAAGCAATACTCTTTCAGACACCGAACAACATATATTTTATATTACTTACCATTCAGCACCACATTTTGCAGTTTTCAGCAGTATTACTTGGCAGTTCACTATTTGGAGTTTTTTGTAGAGAAAATATCCATGTTATATATGTTCAGAATACGAGATAAATAAACAAGATTTTAAATTTCATGATCGTCGAGATTTCCTGTGGTGGCAGCAGTTGCTCAGTTCCTTCGCTTTCAGGTGTGGCCCGCATCAGTCGTTTCAACTCGGATGTGTTTCTTGAAAGAAAAACCTGGCTATACCCCCAGGTACTGGGTTTGTCATCCGAGTTGATTTCTCCATCTCTCCATCTGCTTCTTCCCTCGTCTAAGTGGCAGCAAAATGTTATTTTTGAAGTCCCTAAACAAAATATCCATATTATGCATATTACAAGATAAGTAAACAAGATTTTAAATTTCATGATCGTCGAGATTTCCTGCGGTGGCAGCAGTTGCTCAGTTCCTTCGCTTTCAGGTGTGGCCCGCATCAGTCGTTTCAACTCGGATGTGTTTCTTGAAAGAAAAACCTGGCTATACCCCCAGGCACTGGGTTTGTCATCCGAGTTGATTTCTTTCTCCATCTGCTTCTTCCCTCGTCTAAGTGGCAGCAAAATGTTATTTTTGAAGTCCCTAAACAAAATATCCATATTATGCATATTCATAATACAAGATAACTAAACAAGGTTACGATAATGAAAACATAAGTTAGCGTATATATAAACACTTTTATTAAATGTTTTAATATTTTTTCTAAAAGTGTTCTTTCTGTTGTTTAGTTTTAATCTTTTGTTAACTACATACTCTTTTTAACTAGAAAATAATAATTGAACATAGTACAAAAATACACAATTACCACAAAAGGGTGGCAAGTTTAAGAAGTTAATAATGTAAGATTGAATCCTTATATTTAAAATAATAAATAAACGGTAAAATTAAAATAATAAACGTAGTATGAAAATACATAATTAAAATAAACAGGCTGGAAACATTAAAAGTAATGAATTCACCTGTATATTTTCTGACTGAAGATTCATTTCTTTCCATGATTCATTTCTCATTTCTGCAATATTCTTTACCTGAAAGGGGTGATAAATTATCCTTAACAATAAAATGTTTTCTGGTAAGAAGTAGGCTGGAAACCTTTAAATTAATCAACTCACCTCTATGTTTGTCAATTTATCTGTCAAAATTAGTTTTCTTCTTTCTTTTATTTATTTATTTTTTTTTGGATTACCTAATTTGCAATAAATTTTTTTTACTGAAAAATAAGTAGGTAAACTTATACTAATAATAACTAAACTAAATAAATTTTACAGTTGCTTTTACTGAAGGAGTAGTATTAAAATAAAGTGAAGCACTAATTTGAAACATAAGCTGTGAATGGTTAAAATTTTGTCTTACCTCTGTCATAGTATTTCATGACATTTTGGATCTGCAGCTGTGAAAGAAAGTTTATTTTAATGAAGGAATAACAAAATATATAAAGAATAGCTCTCACGTCAAAATAAAAGTTGAGAATAACTGAAATACACATTTACCTCTTTCTGTAAAAGATATGCAACATTTTCGCAACATTTCCATCCTTTTTGTTTTCTGGGCTCTGTTTTTTGGTTGAATTCTAAAAGGAAATAAAAAATAACAATTTCATGTAGTGAAAAACAAAAAGGTATTAAATCAAAATTTGTGGACCATCTGAACATTTACACAAATTATAGTAAACAATTTACTTGTATGCTTTTCTTATCATTTATTCCAGTTTTAAAACTTGGTCTGTGTTCCCTTACTCTGAAAAATAAGCACATAGATTATAATGGTATGTAATTTAATATTTAAATGCAATTTTTGTATGTATATATATGTAAATAAATAAATTATGTCAAAAATAAAGTTATATTTGTTGGTTTTACCCCATTTATCATCATCTTCCTGAATGAATGGTATATCATCATCTTGTCGGGCTGATTTCTTTGGAGGCATCAGGTCCTCAATTCCTTCGCTTTCTGATGTTGGTTCGTCCAACATTTTAAGTTCAAGGCCGACTTTTCCATGGCCTGGATACACAGCTTTAATGTCCTGTAGAAACTGAGCAAGTCTTTCTCCATCATAAGTAAAGGGCTTCAAGCGGAACCGCCTGTAATAATGTACAGCCATGTACTGCGTGCAAATATCATCTGTTCTCTTGCTCTTTATAGACCTCTTAAAAAGTTTGTTTTCACCCTCAAGATCATTTATAGTGTTCTGTTTATCATCGGGATCTACGAATACGCCTGTAAATAAAGGATTAATGAATGTTAAGGATGAAAAAAAAATGTCACTCATTAAAAAAAAAGACACATATTTACCTTTCTTGTGATTGGTAGTTTTATGTGTTGCTGCCGGAAATAAATTTTCTATCCTTTTATATTGTGGAGCAGAGTCAGTGTATATGAAGGTGGTTTCTGGGTGAACATGACGTTTAATGTAAGGCCACAAATGCCTTTTGCTTTTTCCTTTAACCTTGAAAAATAATCCTTCTTTGTCTTCTCGACAGTAGATGCCTAAAACTACGATGGTCATATTTTTGGTTACCCTGCCGCGGTTGTACTTGCGGCGGGTCAAAAATGTTTCATCAATTAATATAGATTTTCCTTTACCACCTAACATTCTGCTATGATGAGAGGCAAAAATTTCGCATACCTCACGACAATATGATAAAAAGTCAACAATAGTCTCATTTGCAATTACTGGTAATTTTTGCTTTTCCCTCCATAGCTTTAGCTGCTGATTTATGTAGCTGAAACTGTGATCTAGAACAAAGTACACAGTTATGACTAAAGCTTCCCTTATTGGGATTTTTGTACCTTCAAAAAAGTGTTTTTCAATGGGGTTAATCATGCCAGAGCAGTTGTTGCGATTTCTCAGGCTGCAGACCCAACGCCATCCCAGCTTTGATTCCTTTCTCTTGTTGTTGCTTCTCATCGGTGCCTGGCACTTGGGGCAAGGTGGTGCCTCATCCTCTCTGGGAAGAAGTCCAGCATCGGTGGCAAACTCGAGTGCAGCTGCCTCTGTATTAATTAAATGCATGTCAGTAATTAAACAGAAATATTTCAGTTTTTCATGCAAAGAAGCCATATTCAAAAAAGTCAGTACAGTGACAGAAATAGTTTAATGAAATTTATTGTTAGAAATTTCAGAAACTTGGCAATTATGCAAAAGTCAAAACTATCAGAAATAAAAAAGTTTAATAAAGATGAAAAGTAATTATAAGTTTAATTAAACAATATTAGTTCATTATAGGAAGATAGAGAAGTGAAAAGTTCAAACTAGAAAGTACTGTTACAAAAAAAAAAAAAAAAAAAAAAGGAAAATAAAAATAATAGTAATGATATGTATCTATGAAAACAAAGTATTAAAACAAATTTCAAGTGAAAAATAATATTAAAAAATGTAATGGATGAAAATAGATTAAAAGTAAACTTAGCTTTGGCAAAGTCCAAACCACGTTTTCACGTAAGTACCGAGGTACTGATTTTTTTCAGTACCTGACAGACAGACAGACAGCTGCACGGGCTTAACCGCGGCAAAATATGATCGCGAAAAATCTTCTTTTTTAAATTTATTTAAAATATTTTCGAAAAAAAAAATATTTTACTTTACAAATAAATGTTTTTCGGTACATATGTTTTTTTAAAACATTTTTAAACAGAGATGCAGAAGAATAATAGGTATTGTTATTTTTTGTGTGCAGATATGCGTGCGTGATGAACTAAAAAATGATTTTGAAGGTTTCGTGGCATATTTATCCTCTCAAAAATATGCAACTTGCTCAACTTTTCGATTTTATTAAATTAAATAAGGCCTATCGTTTTTTTTTTTTTTTTTTTTTTTTTTTTTAAGCACTGACAATGAAAGCTGTTATGTTCTATTTTTGCGTTTTTATCCCAAAGCGCGTTAGCCCAGAAGGGCTATTAATTTCGTTTTCGCATTTTGCGTTGAACTGTTTCTACCGAATATTATCGCTGTGTGTTATATTTAAAGATATTTAATAATAAAGAATCAGCATAAATATACGTATGTTTAACGTACATAACATTTATGCAGATACTGTGATAAAACAACGGTACCTACAGCTATGAAATTTTGAATATGTACGTCACCACCCGAATATGGGCATCTGAAAGCTCAAATTTGTAATTTGTTTTATTAACTATTTAACATTTTGTAAAGCATTTATGTGTTTTTGATTAAGAAACTCGACGATTTCTAAGCGAGCAATGGCAACACTGTTCGGCGCAAGACTGTCTATCGGAAATTCTAAAGATATGCTCTTCTTTTAAATGTTTTGTCATCATATTGCTGCTTAAGAGAGAAGACAGTTCGGATGTACAAAATTTAAAGACCGCATGTCTGTTGATTTTGAAAATTCATTTCCATTGAATTTAACAATTGTTTTCAGTTGGCGAGAGGTATACATCTCTGTTGTACACTATTATTGGTAACCTTTAATTGTTGGTTATTTGTTACATTTTTTTGTCTTTCATATTGCCCTGGCTGCATTGGAAATTTCGTGGTTTTCCTCGTGTGTATACGAGCCAGTACAATTACACTAATGAATCATATCACTTAAATAATGTGAATAATTATAGAATTATTATATATAAGTGTAGAATAATTGGGTTGGTTGTTATGTTCACGAGTTGTGTGTAAATGCGTGGCTTTGTGTGATTATGTAATTAATTAATGAAGATTTCAGCAGCGGCCTGGCGGTAAAGTGTGTGAGCACTGGTAGTTCTGTCCGAAGTTCGAATCCCGCTAATGCGCCGGTTGCTTGTTATGTTCACGAGTTGTGTGTAAATGCGTGGCTTTGTGTGATTATGTCATTAATTAATGAAGATTTCAGCAGCGGCCTGGCGGTAAAGTGTGTGAGCACTGGTAGTTCTGTCCGAAGTTCGAATCCCGCTAATGCGCTGGTTGCTTGTTATGTTCACGAGTTGTGTGTGTTGGTGGTAATTAATTAATGAAGCAGACTATTCGGTGTGGTGGTATAAGTCTGTACATGATTACATACACATCTGCACATACATACAGATATACATTTCTGGACCTATCCCTGATAAGCAAACAGTATCCTCAAATATTCTACTAATACAATAAACCCTCTCTGAATGCTTGGTTACATCATGAATACATTGCGTGCAAGACATCCCCCCAAAATAGCTTTCTGTGAATAAATGGATAAGAAATTAAGAAAGTGTATGTAAGATTAAGAGGCAGTTTTCAGATTAAGAAAGTGTATGTAATTTATACAAACTTAAATATTATTATAAATAAAAAGTAACAAATTCGGTACCAATGTACACATCGACCTATTTTCACTTAAAAAAATCAGAGAATTGCACAAACTTGGCATTGCGCACTCTCTCGACTTTGTCCATGCATTGATACGTGCCATATAAGTGGCTGATTCTGCACTTTGCCCGATTTTTGCTTGAAAAAGGTGTCCGATGCAGCTCACTAAATGCTTCCTTGTAAGGAGTGTAAATTTTTTAAATACCTCTTATAAAATGTATTTGTCATTTTTCATTTGGGTTTGGTTTGGCTTATTTAATGATTGCAAAGCCATGAGGGCTATCTGCCTAAGGGGAGGGATGCCTTCGTGTAGGACTTTCCAAGGAAACTGGTGCGGATCCATGTTACATATGGGGAAAACCATGAAAACATCAATGCATCCAGCCCATTCATGGGATTTGAACTTCGGACTGAACTTTTAGTGTTCAGCAATTTTGCCACTCGGACACTGGTGGGCCTTTTTTTTCATTTGTTTCTGTTTCCAGTACTAAATTATTCAATTTCTGTACCTTTTTTTAGCAATTTGTTTAACTTCTTGTAGGCTAAAGACTCTTTATCTTTTTCGCTATCGCTGCTTTGACTATCAGTTGGTATAAAATCATTCCGTTCTTCATTTATCATTTCACTTTCATCATTCTTGATTAAATCATTGATTTCTCCTTTTTCTATGTCTGAAAATTCTTCATTGACTATTGCTTTTGCAGTTTGTAAAATTTCCTTGGCATCATTTTCAATTCATGGAAATCGTATAAAACTGATAAATTCTGGCCAGTGCTGATGCCAGTAAGCATTCATTATTGATGAATTCACTTGTTCCCAAGCAAATTTAATCATTTCCATGCAGTGTTTTATACAGTCAAAAGTCGTTAATCCGGACTCGTCGGGACTTCGGCGATTCCGGATTATCGATTTTTCCGGATTATAGATCATCAGTTTAAATCTCGTAAGATGGCATGCACAAATTCTAAAATTAAAAATAAGAAACCGTATTTTAGGAAATAAAGAACAAATATGATCTAAAGGGTATCAAAATTTACAAAAAAAGAAGCTTAATATTTATTTCTTTACTTTATTAAACATTTCTTTCAATGTAAGTTGTTCGTTTTATGTGATAATACTTTCTCTTTAATTCTATAAACAGACATAATTTCTTGTTCAGTTAAAAAGCTCCGCTGTTCAAGTCCCGTAATTGCTGTGCCGAGAATACCGACTAACTTGTCAAACGAAATTTTTTCGTTTTCACTAACCTCTCTGTCACCTTCTTCATGTCTTTATCCATTTTTTGCAGCAATTCCACTTTTTGTTTGACGGACATCGAGACATACTTTCGTTTTGTAGATCCTTTGGGAGCTCCAGAATCGGAAATTGACATAATCGAAAGTTCAAGTTTACTTTTATAAAATTGCTCTTACAGTCTGCAAAAAATAATAAGCTGCATCCAATTCGAAGATTAAGGAATAACGCAAGCATCAACATTAACTGAAATAGATAATTGTATAATTTTAGCTTATACCGTCCGTTATACGTTAAACGCGCACGAGAAAATGTATTCTGCACTTGCGCACACGCATATGCGCGTGCGCGTAAACATCATACGCGCACGCGTAAACGCCTATGCGCATGTGTCAACTCGGCACAATGTCAACGCGGCACATGCGCAGAAAGTTTTTAGCTTTGAGGTCCGGATTATAGATCATTCCGGATTATGGGTGTCCGAATTAACGACTTTTGACTGTATTTAAATACTTCCAAAATGCTGTTGTTAGTGTATTGTGCTTTATTTCTTCTAATGCTTTATTTTCTGAGATGTTAACATGCCTGAGATAATAGACTTTGAATATTTTGTAAATTTGTTGAATATTTTTGAACATTTAATTTACTTTGAATGGATTCCTTAATCCATTGGTTGGGTTAAAAAAGTTGTTTTTGGTAAAAGGAATAAAACCTCTAAATTTGGCTTCAGTATTGGAAGGGCTTCAGTACTGTATCCTAGAGAATTTTTTTTTTTTAATTAAAAGAAACACAAGAAGTTCCCCATGTACCACATATTACCACATGGGGCTTACAAAAGTAAGTATGAAACACAATACAAAATAAACAGAAGACAAAATTGGAACAGAATTAAGAGGGATTACAAAGTTTTACAATAAATTGACAAAAACTGTTAAAGCATTTCTCTGAGAAATAAATTGGTAAAATTTGGGAGGCCAGTTAATAATAAAATTGGTACTTTTCCGTTTTGCCGGCGCAAGCGATAAAGTCGCCAATAATGGTACAACCGATGCCAAACGGAATGTTCTCGCTGGTAACCTTTTACGCCTCATTTTCAAAACAAGTCGCAGCTTTTTCTTATCAGATTGATTGTTTCTTTCAATACTGGCATATCATTACATAGAATTTTTATCAGATAGTTCAGTTTTATGTCTAAGGCAATTTTCGGCAATTAAGTCAATTAGGATGCAATCACAGCGTTTACCCGAAGCCGAAAATATAGAAAAGGTAATGTCAAGAGTTAAATTCATCAATTCTAATGAGAATGCATTAGCGAAGTAAAGCACTGCAGTTTTACATAATTTCTGAGTATGTTATTCGTACGAAATTGAAATATTTCTTGCATTTAGACTTGTGTTCCAAATTAAGATTTAACATGAAATTAATGTAGATAATTACTGAGAGCATTAGATTTTTGTAGAGTAGTTTACGTGACATGAGATCGCTTGGGATCACGTGATATG